CACATATGCTCACAAACAAAACTCATAACTTGTAAATGAAACAGAATTACTACATAGAGATTATAACGAATTTATGTGAAAAAAAAGTTAGCTGTTAAGCGAAAGAATACAAGATTTTGTGCGTTATTATTATTAGTAGTAGTACTGTTATAATGAGGCACAAAAAGTGATTAAAACAAAAGTGATGTTTTTTTTAGAAAAAATATCCAACATCAACACCAAGGAGCTAGAGTGAATAATATGGTCATTTGGAATGAGTATTATTCAAGCACATCATCCAACCAACAAGACTATAAGCCTTTTTTTATATCACCAATGAAATCATATTCCTGCGTATGAACTTTAGACTATCAAAAACAGATACACTAAAACACACCCGACTGTTGTTGCTACCTTGACGTGGTGGTCGGGCTTACGTATCGTCATGAAACAACCGAGCTATTACTGGTTAGAACAATCGTTCCTCAAGGTCCTACCATATCAGACAGGTCGGTTGAAGAGCGGTAAGACTAAAAGCAACAAACTCAAGGTCCGAAGGCGAAGTCGTACTGCTGTACAGAGGTGTGACGGCAGTAAGGTGTTTCCTTCAGACAACCAGCATAACAGCGATGGTACCTTCCTACAAGGAAAGATGGGGTTGGAAAAGGTCGACCCTAAAAATGCACACCTCGCCTTATTTCACGGATATCAGTCTCCAGTGGTAAGGTCTCAAAAAGTACGGAGGTAACAAGAAAATTACCCACAAAAAGGTCGTGTGCTACTGACCACAAACAGTTGTCCCTTAGGCACTGCGGTCACACTCTCAAGTCACAAAGGCCATCTCTAACACAATTTCCTTTTCAGGTACCTCCAGAAGAACCTTTTCACGGTGTGGGCAACCGGGAAGTGATAAACGTCTTCATACCTCTAACAGCACTTAAGACCACTGTATTCATAATCAACCTCCCTCTTCACTGATGATCAAAGTATGTAATCAAATGCATAACTTCCTCATAGGATGACTATAATCATTTTTTTAAAATCAATGAGTTGCTATATACAATGCAACTATCAGATTCGATGTGTCAAACATACTTACTGTGTGCTTTTTTCTTCTTAAACTATGTTTTACCAATTACACCCCACAACAATCAATACACATCCCAGAACACATCCAAAAACATAATCTCAGTTGAACTATTAACCATTTAAAATAATAAAAATAGGAATTCATTCTGAAGGAATGAAAGGAATAATGTTAGCGTAGCATAAATAAACTCGTAGAATATACAAATCAGTGTTTTGAGTTAATTGTTATGCTTAATTTACACACATTTAACAATATTACTAACATATAGTAATAGTAGTAATGGTATTCATATTACTATGTAAAAAACCTTTATTCACAAATGATGATGAATTTATTTACAAATTATAAACAAGTACAATTCTTCTTGTCCTTCCTGTGAAAACAGAAAAAAAATCCATTACAAAATAAGGTAGTGAAATGAGAATCGAATCACAAAGACAGATAGAGAGAGAGAGAGGGAGAGCGAGTAAGAAGGAAAGAGAAGAAAACCATTGAGAGAATAGTAGACAAGTATATATGTTAAGAAAATGATGGAGAAAAAAACTGAAACGAAATCACAGCAAACAAAAGTAGCATTGTGAAGTAACAAATACAAGTGTAGCTAGGCAGATTAGGTGTGTAACAAGTAGAAAAAAAAAGTAGCCAGAAATTTGAGTTAAGCATAGTTACAATAGTTACTTAGAGCTCAAATAATTAGCGCATAAGTATGCACGAACACATACACACATACATACATTGCTGCTTGCTTATATCAAACATAGCTATCGCATATAAGTGCATTTTATAAAGGTGTAATATGAGAGATATATATATACATTGACATACATACATACATACATACGCACACAAATAATTTCACTCCAACTCACCCTGACTTAAAACGACCACATCGAAAACTTGATGTATAGATAAAAAGAAATTATTCATGATAATTATCACTTTTTTTTCTCACATTTCATGATATAGAATAATCGTTAAATTTATTATATAGTAATGTATTTCTGATGATGTAATGGAAGATCAATCAAATTTTGATAGACAATTCTCAATATAACACGACTATCCAAAACAATTCATTTGGACAAATTGAATCAAGCAGGAGCAATAAGATAGAAAATAAAATGGTTTAAATCATTAAATCCTCTGTATCCTTCATCACTGTACTAACATTCAGTATAAAAATGTTATGTCCTGATTAGCATAATGAATGGTAAGTATTGGGATCCATTTATGGATCAATACTATACGTACATTTTTATCGTATAATTCTTAAATAACTAAACTATTCATGTTCATATCCCTCTTATTATGACCTTTATTTTGACCTATGAACTGTTATTATACGATTTACCATTCTTGAATTATACCCTGTTTATCACTTACTCTCCCTCATTCACAGCCACATTTAGCTAGATCTTGTAGAAATGTTGCTTCTTATTTTATGGTACAATGTGGTCTGTCTGGTTGATGTATAAACCCAATATATTTGAAATCAATGATTCATATAGCAGAGGCTGATATTGGTGTTCTGGACGTAACAGGCTGAGCTAGGCAGGAAGCAGGACTTTAGACTGCTCGCACGGATTTTATGAAACATTGTTCTCAAATTGGCGGTATCGTTTCGTTATACATGAACAGGGCACACAGGCCACAAGTTATAACAAATAACCACATGTATATGGAGACGGAGGGAACATACATATAAAAAGTGAAATTGTGTACTAAGTAGAGATGGATGGTGGATAGTAATAAAATTCAGGATACGCGTTTCACGCTATTTGGGGCCTATCAGCCGGATGTACATGCATCCCAGAGTTGGTGCTCAACCAGGGACTCGAACACAGTACCGTTCGCTTCAAACGTCGTCACGTTGTCCACTTAGCTACTGAGTCCATATAGCCCTGGTTTGTGCAATGGCATGAATTTTAATGTATACATAAAGGTTATTTGAATCTTATCATTGGTGTTTAGAACTGCAATTGATAATCCACCATCTATCTTTGCTTAAAATGCTTTCAGCTTGATAGTTATATCAAGGTAATCTGCACATAATGCACATATGCCAAAGGAAACTGACCATCTGCAGTCCTAAACATCATTCGGAAGATCAAAACAATCAGCAAATTCTTGAACACTAAATTACTATTTATTCGTTTATCAATCAATCTAGTCAGTTTGAAGTTCTAAACGAACCAACTGAAGTGTTTGCCGTAAACTCCGCATAATTCATGTGTTATAAATGATCGTAGACAATTAAAAGATCACTTAACAAATAGTTGATTTGTAAATTATGATAATGCAACTGATTTCTTAGCTTTGAATTTGTTGTAAGCAGACTATTAGTAGTACAAGTATTCTACAAGGTAGCAGACTCTAAGTCTGATCATCCATTTACTTAAGTTTGGGTAACTGTAATCTACCATTAAGTTACACACATCCACCGTGTAGTGTAATGCAGACTACGTATAGAAGTAAGTTGGAAGAAATTTGGGGTCGGTTAGACCAAAAAGTAGTATTAGTCCGTGAAGTTGCTAACAATGCGACTGGGTCATATCAATAAGTGTAAACTACCACGAAGATTATCGTAGCCAATAGTTAGATAATGGATGATACAGCTCAGAATCGCTTGCCATGTCTAATGTGCATTCACTTTTTATCTTCTTTTATAACGTGTGCACAGAATTCTCATTAAACATTTTAATAATTGATCTTTTCTACTATTTATATACCACTACTCTAGAATTTGTCTTGCTAATATGAAATGGCAAATTGAACTGATGGATATAAATGCCAGGTTCGACGCTGTGCATGTCTGACTAAGTACATATACTTTTTATTCGAAAAAAAAAAACGATTTATACATTTTAAAGAAAATTTATGATATTGCAACTAACTTTTCCAGAGCTAATCAAATGCGCGTCAGATAACACAAGAAAATTAACTGGTTAATGAAATCTACTATTTCACTACTCATAAGTAGCTTATTACGTTCAATAAAAGTAATTTGGCCTAATCAACGTATGGCTTTTTGTACACTTTTTAAATGCGAAAACCAATTAGCAGAATAAAAGGAGTAAATGTCTAACAAGTGAAGTGGGGCTCAAATCACTAGTTGATGGATTTTATACAAAGAATAAGCACGAAGTTGCAAAGCAAAAAGAAAACATGTTACATAACTGAAAATCATAGTGCATTGTATTAACTGCAAAGATTGATAGTGGCTAGCAGTGGAATCCAGGATGAGCATTTCGTCCTATTTGGGACTCATCAGATAGATGTGCCTGCATCTCAGAGTTGATATCCACTTTGAGACTCGAACTCAGTATTGTTCGCTTCAAACGCCATCGCGTTATCCACTTAGCTACTGAGTTCACCTTTGCATATAATGCATGCGAATTAAGGCTATATCGATACAATACGCACATATGCCAATCCTAAACATCAGTGGGAAGAATCAAACAAACAATACCAAGTGAATAATTGTGTTAACTGTTGACAGTAGTCTATTAGTTAAAACACTTTAGGAAATATGACTTGACACGTGCTAACTTGAACAGATGAATATCTATAACAAATACCCTGTTAATTGAAGATGCAATCCTAATACAATATGACTTACAAGATCTTGATTAACATATAGAATTAAATTATGGGGTGTATTTATGCTTAATCGATGATAGAGCTAAATAGCCCCCAAATGCCCTGGTACGACTGAGAGTGGGGAGAGTACGCTCTCCCTCTCGAAATGCTCTCACATGGCCACGCGTATATAGACAAATAACATGCTAACAAAGTTACTTTAACCACCTTTCAAAATGAAATAAGGATACACAAAAGAACCCAACAAATAGTGATCAAATCAATGCTAAACATTATCGAAATCAAAAGCACGTTTACGAAAAAAAAAATATAAAAATACTGGATTAATTACCTTCGAGCTATCCTTAATGTTAGACTACGGAAGAATCGTCCTGGTCGAGAATGACTAGATGATCCATTTTTTGAAACTGTAATTGACGGAGTTTCTAAAGTCATTGAAGAATCTGAATAATTCTTTAATTCCGTGGAACAATTGATATTTTGATTTGGATCCATATTTTTCTTGCTTGTTGTCATCTGTTTCGACTCAGCAATAGATGGAATATTATTAGTTGTAGTCATCATAGTATTGTTTGGTCGATGACGTACTGACCATTTAATAATTGAATCTCTTTTTAACGATGCTGTTGTTGTGGATAATTTAAAACCATGTGATTTTGAATCAGATTTTTTTCTATCATCATTAATCGTCTTTTCATCTGTGTTCAATGTATCAAGTGCCTTGAAAATGGAATCAGGCAATGTAATTCGACCACTAGGTGATGAAGATTGTTTATTATTTTGTTGTTGTTGTTGTTGTGTAATTTTCGCAGAATTCATTGTACCCGATGAAGATGTTGGATCCATTGTTGAAGAATGACTATCAGTGAAAGTGAATGATTCAGGTATTTTTGTATTCAAATTATTATTCTTCTGATAATCATCCGATTGATTTGTTGATAATTTTTTCGATTTTTTAGTTTTATTAATATTAAATAAAGAATAAGGAATACTTGGACGATTGATATCACTTTGTTGATGTTTTTGTCGATCATTTGTATGTAAAATATCAATGATAGAATTAGTATCATTCGAAGGAACTTTACTACTACTATTAATAGTATTAGTAGTAGTAGTAGTAATGGGTAAAGTTGTTGTTTTAGGCTTGGAATGAATTGAAGTATCTTTATGCTTTTTTCGATACGGAAGTGTTCTACAATTGTAAGTAACAAAGAAAAAGAAAAATCAATTAAATTGAAAGGAATAAGAGGGGGGGGAGAGAGGGGTGAATTCATTAACTGACAATGATGAAGTGTAAGATGTTATTGTTATATAATACACGTTATGGTGAAATGAAAAAAAATATGAAGAAACTACATAAAATGTAATAGAAGTATTTAACTATCATGTTAGTTGCTTATTACTTCATACACACATTTAAATGGTTACGCATTGAATGCTCTGGTTAATTGTGTTGATTTCTATATCTTTTTAAACAATATGCTCAATTATTGTTATTTGCAAAGATGATTCAATTCAGTTCAACTTAGCTAAGAGTTAATTAATAAATGTTTTTTTACTATTCAAAGGAAAAAATTCGGCAAGACTCTAATTTATGGACGAGCCAATCAGAGGCGTTTTAGAGATTTTAAGGTTACGGCGTCAACTTCAGTGCTAAATGCTAACGTACGATCGGTTCACAGGGAATTTTGTACAAAATGTGATAATCGAGCAGCTATAACAAATAAAATGGTGAGACTATAATTTGTGGACGAGCCAATCAAGTATAAGATAATAAATCTCAGATTTTAACGCGAAAGTCTTTCATCCATTTGGCTAAATAAATTTCTTGCATTAGAATTGATGTCAGTTTGTGATGAAAACCCCATATATAATTCCTAGCTAAGGCAAATTACGACAATTATCGCGAACTGGATAATAAAAGCACCAGTAACACTGGCTGCAGCCAGGTACTACAATATATACGGATGTTTGGAGAGAGTAAAGACTCTTGCATAGGTTTGGTTGTATGCATCGTGTCGTTATCCACAAGTAGCATTTTGTGTACTCAACAACCGGAGTGCACACAAACAATATTGAAGCTATGTGGTCGAGGCTGAAAGAGTTTTTGAGACTTTATCATGGCTCCAAAGGCCGACTATTCTGTATGATTTCCTTTACTGCATGTATTACGATTTAAGAACCTCTTTCTAAACTTGACAAGTTTTTGAACCATGTAAAAGAAATCTATCCACTTTATTTTTACTCTATACTCAAGATTTGTTCAAAGGTCGTTTATAAATTATAGTCTCGCCAAAAATTCCACTGAACCATCATTTACTGATACAGTCAACCAGAAAAAGAAAGCGCTTAAAACAATTAACTCTTGAGAAAGAACATGTCAGTTATTTCAAATCATACAGTTTTGATTCCTTTGGGATATTATTATGTGCTAAACAAATAAAGCAAACTGTTTCATAATAAAAATGCAATGTCTGTAAAACATACGCCATTTAATAGGAAAGATATCATAAGAATTATATTCAGTGGTTGTTATTTGGTAACTTCTTTCAAGGTGATAGGATCAACTTCATTTGCAAAAATAAAGAAGTTTAAGAGAGCGGAGACGAAAAAAAAAGATTTTTATCCACTGACGAAATGATTTACACAAGGATTATGAAACATGAGAAAGAAATTCAATGCTACTATTGAAAGATGAGATAATTATAAACACTTCAATATACATAAGGGAATGATCATATGAAATCTTGACAAGTTATGAATTACATTGATGAAACAACATTATTGATGAATTTGTCGACTATATTATGGAATTATTATAATCTGTTTCAGTTCATACATAAATTATATGCAGCATACTATTCACCGTTTTCATCCATTAAATTGCAGATTCGAACTCCAATACTATCTTAGTAGTATCTTGAATCTGCAAAGACACTGTTTGCTCCTAGATATCGTGATACAATAATAAGTGAGGAGAACATTTTCTTTATAACAGTCACGTCATTATATGTTCAGACTAACTGATTGAGATGTAAAGGGAACATCCGACACTAAAAGCCGATTGGTGAATATAGAGAAAGAAAACTGGAAAACATTGATTCCAAATCAATGTTGTGTGTGAACTCCAAATTTTCTGAGAACATATATGGTATGTGAGCCTATTTTAGATGCTGGCTAACATCGCACTGATTCTCCTCCTGTCGATACTTCACCAGCTTGTAAATTCAACCAACTAGGTCAAAGGAATGAGAAATCTCATCCTAAGAAGACTATCTGCTTAAGCTAAAGTGTTCAGCAAGTATCTTAGCCTATAGTCACAAATAAAGAAAATACCCTATTCGTCCCGTTTTATTATCTGTTTAAGAATTATTTAAAATAATGCAAAATTTGGATTAAATTTATAGCAGAATAATGCTGTACTTATTTGTAATTAGAAGTAGTATTGTTAATGCGGACAGGAAGGTGTACACATGATAAATACTAAGCTGAAAAGAAAAATAATCCGACAACATATACACAGTATGTTGAATGAAATATATCGATTTGAACATAAAGAATAATGATAAGTAACAAAACAATATAATCTTCATTTCACAATTATCTTAAAGGGCATCCAAAATGCCATGGGGTACGGCCGAGTGTGGTGAGTCAGCCCTACTTCCAAAAATCCTCTCACATGGCCACGTGCAGACAACCAATGTCAGGGAAGTCCTATTCACTGAGTTCTCGCGGCATTTCTGCTGTTTACGAAATTGACAACACAAAAAGCGAATATCCGGTGCTTTAACCGGGCTGGTAGATATGGAGAATACATCCAAAGGAGTTTGATGCACATGGGTTGGCTCCAGGATCCTGAAAGAACAAATGGAGTGTGAACCTATTGTTGGTCACCGGCTACCATGGAACTGCATCTCCTGACGTTGCTGCACTGTCTTGCGGATTAGACCTTTAAATCAAAGGCTCGGGAAGTAGCTTTCGAAGGAAACTACCTACTTCGGTTTGGGTATCCGGGAAGTATCCCAGCACTCTCACACAAATCGAATGATTTATGTGGTGTTTATCTGTTTGGTGCCTCGTTGTACTAATTTTTATGTGTTTGAATAAATAAACGAATAATATCTCAAAAAAAGAATTGAAATATTGGAAGAATAGTTCCAATTACTATTGATAGGGTATTAAGTTTTCAAAGATTATTACTCTTATTTTAAGCTCTATTCTGTCCTCATACATCTTAACACTTCAGTAGAAATGTCATCAGTTACATATTTACTTATACGAGTGACAAAATGCTTTAAGCTGTCGATTACATACAATCAGAAAATCTTGGTTATACTATAAGAAGGAAGATGTATAGAACATTTCAGTTTCCAGTTCAATAGTTGACTAATACAAATCAACAGTTATTTCTATGCATATTTGCACTTGCCTTAAAAAACATGGTATTTAGAGATGTTTATAGTATGCAATTCAAGTCAAAACTGTTAATATGATGGTAGATGTCTCTTACAACAATTACATTTTAACATTTGGACAAATATTCACAATCTAGAATTGGTGTTTCTAATATATGTCACTTTATGATACATCATAGGGCTAACGACTAGTATAAAAGTTTTCATTTCAGTAATAACGAATGAAATCACATATGCGCCACACAAGTCATCTAATTTGTGTATGGGCTGTGATACTGCCCGGGTACCCAGACCGAAACAAGTGATCTCCTTAGGGGGCCACACCTGAAGTCATTGACCTAAAGGTCTGATCCACATGGTAATGGAGCAACTTCAAGAGATGCAGTCCCATGGGAACCGGTGACCAACAATAGGTTCACACACCATTTGTTCCTTCAGAATCCCGGAGCCCATGTGCTCCAGTGGTTTGAAACCAAAGTTTTCTAACTCCCCTAAATGGATCCTCCATATTCACCAACCCAGTTAAAGAACCGGACATTTGCTTTTCGTTCTCTCAATTCCGTAAACAACACCCCCGTCACGAGCACATAGTGAGTAGAACTTCATTGGCAGTGGCTATGTAAGGGCATCTTTCGAGAGGCAAAGCTGATTCTCCCCACTCTGGACCCTACCAGAGCATTCAAATAAATTACAGATCATTTCTTTTTAAAACGAATGAATACACATTGGAGATGTTATTCATGAACACAGATAACACAAAAGAAGAATTGATTACAATAAGAAAAAAAACATACACATATGAAATAAATTCCTTAATATATAACAAGTAAATGATGGAGAAGATTTGTAGATCAAGTGAATGATTTTGATAGAGTTTCACTTCTCTCAAATAAATGGTTTAGTTGTGGATCTTTCATCATTCTTCTGAAGTGTTTACTGAATGATGAAAGTTTCACGATCAAAACATTCAGTTCAAAGAACCGAAACTTCATCAAAAAACAATAACAAGTACTTTATTGATTCTACCAATTAATCATTGAAAAAAAAGGTTATCACATATTTCAGCTGATCTGAGCATATACATATATGGTGAATGTTGTAGGTAAAAAATTAACCAATCAAATTAATTCGGTTGTTGTTACTATGTCTACTATCATATTGATCGATCATAAAGTGCATATAATAGTGAATGGAACATCTATGATAAACTATAAAAAGAAAACTACCAATAAAAAATGACTTTAAAAAGAAGACGTTTATTTGAAAGAAGAAAAAAAATGATGATTTATTCAGTAAATGATCATAACTTCTTTATCTATTAACCTCTGTGTAACAATCCTGGATCATTTTGGTGGAGTTTTGTTCTCTGAGCTGGACCAAACCATCCAGCTCAGAGAACAAAACTCCACCAAAATCATCCACCTGAGCTACAAATCTTCTCCACCATCTCAATCCTGGATGAACTAATCAGGTATAAAGATAATAGAACTTGGATTTTGATCATGAAATTTATTTAGTTCAATAGAGTTTTAGCATTATAGCTAATTGTTAATTCATGTTGAAAACTTTAAATGTAATTTGTAACTTGAACCATCAATTGTATAGCATAATTCTTATTCTACACACTAGTTTATAATCCTCATTTAGTCCTAATTAATAAGTGGACACTCGCAAGATCACATTAACATCACTCAAGGATCGTCTATAAATTATCATCTCATCATATTTCAGTGGTATGTTGACATTTGAAGTTGATTGAAAGAAAAAAGTACAAAAA